GATTTTCGGCTCTGGGTGGGTATATCTGCTTCGATTGTTGGATTTCTTGCTTGTTAAATTCGTTAACTAACGCCATTTTTTTTTTTTGCCAGTACTTCTTTCTTGGATTGGATTTTCGGTTCTGGGTGGGTATATTTACTTCGATTGTTGGTTTTCTTGCTTGTAAAATTCAAATTCGTTTACTAATGTAATGTTGTTAGCTGAAATACAATATTTCGTCAGACATTTAGACATTTAAGTGCTTAAATATATTTCGACATGACATACTAAATGTTTAAATTAGCGATAATTAGCGATGTAATAAGATTATCCCAAAGTTACAGTAAAATGCATATGGGTCAGTACACAGCAAAACGAACTTTAGAGATATTTTGCTCAAGGTCGAGATTTTTACCGGATCATATTTCTAAATATGTGATTTATTCACAATAAATTTTTAGCTCGCATTAGTATAATAAAATTTTGTACTATTTTATATGCAGTGTTTTTTTATCATGGATTAAATATTGATATCTACAAGTAAAAAATTCGTCCCGAAGCCCCTTTTTGTTGTGTACTAACCCATATGGGTTTCTGTTCACATTGTAATATAATAAAAAATTAATTTGTAGCATAACTTTTATTTAATTAAGCAATAATAATAAATTACGTATGAGCATAAACAAACAGTACATATACATGCTACGATCAGGGCATAGTAATACGTATGCGGCCATTTACTGTGCCGATGCCAATTGTTTACTGTATATATTAATCTACTAATTGAATATCTTATGTAAACAATTATGCAATAATATGATATGCATGCATTGAATTGTTATTCTGGCCTACGATATACTATATATAGTTATTCAGGATCGGGATAACTTGTGGTTTTTAAAGCATTAATAAAACCACCCCATATATTATTTTTTTTTTTTCTCCATACGAATTCATGGAGGTGGTTGGTGACTTCATCCTTGGTTCTATCACGGGCTGGGATTCTCAATTTCAAACCATTCCACAATCCTTCAATAGTATTAGTATGAACACCAGTTACAGGGTCTACGAAGTTAACTGAATGGTAACTACATTATGGGTCATACTTAAACCTTCAAGCCCATTATATCCCCGCCACATGTCTGTATATATGATAGAGCCTTCCAAAACATGTCGGGATATAACTTCAAGTAAGGTATCAGCAGTCCTATCGGCAACTACTTCTACGAAGCATCCTTTTTCCTCTGTCCGTTCGACTCCACCAATTACCCACACCCCATCAACTCGATGACCTCGATGATATTTTCTTTTACCCATTTTAGTCTCATCGATTTCGACGATCACATTAGGTCCGCCAATCCTATTGTCGTCATCTTCAAGGGTGCTAGCAACCATTTCCCTAAACAATTTCATATAACTTTTAATGGTTGCCGACGAATGACCTGTCATACTTAATATGCTTGTATATGTAACTTTATTTAACCAAAAATAGCCGATTAACATGGTATCGGAGCATTTTAGACGGTTTTTCGCAAAAAAGGAATCTTTTAATATTGAAAAGGATTTACGGCATGAACGATTAATGCAACGATGAAGTTTTTTTTCACGATAGAGTGGGGAATTGCAAGAAGAACAAGATTGCGGGTTGTATAATATATCTTTATTGAATATATAGTCAATGCATTCGTCCTCATCAAAAAAATCTTTTGAAGAAATTTTAAAGTAGGGGATGCAACTACAACAGACATGTTTAAAATTTTTTTTGTTTTTTTTTACTGCAGCTGTTAAACTGGAGATTAATAAACAAAATCGAAAATGACCCTAATGGTGTACAGAAAATAAATAGAGAACTAGCTGAGCAAAATGACGCTATACAACAAAGACGTTGATATCAATAGCATTGAAATTAATGTGATTTAATGACAGGTAATGCTGTTAAGAGTGATAATAAAGTGATGATCATAAAAACGGTAATGATGGTTTGGTAATAAACAATAAGGATGATGTTAAAGCAGAAGATGATCATATACGTAAGTTCGGTGATAATTTAAGTTCACATGATGAAGTACCGGCAAAAAAAAAAAAAGGGCGTTAGTAAACGAATTTTACAAGCAAAAAATCCAACAATCGAAGCAGATATACCCACCCGGAGCCGAAAATT